GTGGACATCTACCAGAGATCTGATAGAGCTTTATAGCTCATCAGATTCCTTCAGTATAAATACTGATTCTAAATTAATAAGTCTACAGTAATACATTTGGCATGTTTGGTTCGTGGCACTTTTATTAATTGGCTGTGTCGGGTGGAGGAGGGTTGACAGCACACGTGTTCACATGACCTAAACTCAAAATAAACCAATTTATCAATAAATGTCTTTTCATCTCCAGAGAAGCATCATCCGAAGGCAAAAAAACCAGAAAGATGTGGTCACTACTTGAGAATATTGGCAACTACAAGACGGAGGGAAAGTGGAACAAATGACGAAATGTGCAGTGGACACCTACGGGACTATCTGCGCATGGATTGTGATGATGCACGACACTACACTATTTTACACTACAGTATAAACTTCGCTGTACACTACAATACTCTACTATGATGTGCACTTCTTGAGCATATTGGCACAGGTCAGAGAGAAAGTGGAAACAAATGACAATACGCGTCGTGGACACCTCTTGCCTCGACGTTTCCCGCTTGGCATCTCAAGGGGTTAATGCGAGTTCTATTGACTGGACTTCCGGAGGCAAACTAAATCAGCGTAAAACGCATGCGAAGATCACCACACACACAGGACGCATTTTTTTTCAAAAGTATTCTTTATTCACTTGCTATTTCAGACTAAAAATTGGTTGCATTACATGAAAGTCAACGGAAAACCAATTTTCAGTTATCACAAGAGTAGAAGTGAAGGGCTGACTTAAAATTCCCTGCATTTAATGTTTAATTTGAACCAAAGGATGCCGAGATATTTCCAATCTTTTGAGCCACAATTTAAATCTAAAAAAATGGCATCCTCTTTTAAACGACTGCTGGCCATTACAAACTATAACAACACAAATGCCATTCCCTGCATCCCTGCGTGACACATTTTTCTGTGTTTTGTATTTCTTCTGAGCACTAAAGTGCAGACAGTTCTTGTGTGTGTGTTTTTTTTAACGTTTAAAAATGTCAAAACAATTAAAGGTTTGGCAAGGTCTTATGTACACTTATTCAACTTCTCATCCGAGCAGACACGCACGACCCACGTCTCATCCCACTAACGCAGCAAGCCTCGAAACTGCCCCACGGCACTCGGCAGTCTCCTCCACTCATCGCAGACACGTTACACCCCCCACCCCCCCCGCCCGCAGGCACGACCGTGTTTCTCTAAAATCTAAAATTCTACATCACAGCAGCAGGCTCTCTACTCTCTCTCTCGCGCGCGCTCTCTCTCTCTCTCAAAATCTGTGTGGACGCACTCTAAAAAAGAATATAAGTAGGCGGAGGTGTCACTTAAGATGGATTTACAATGTGTACACAATTGGAACGTAAAAAGGGGGAGAGGGGGGGGAAACAAAACAACCCCGCACCCGTCCAGAAGCTGTTTTGCCCCACAACGGAACGAGGGCCGCGAATCTGTAGAAGAGTCAACAAATGCGGGAGGGTGATTTGCAAAGACAAGTCACACGTTACACGAACGTAAGTAACATTTACACTTAAGGCTTACTCTTGATTATTCGACGGATGTTTGTACTCCAGTGTGGGAAATCAGAATGATGAGTTTCACATGATCGTCATCGTTGCTGTTTCCATGTACATCAACGTTCTAAAACGCGTTACGCAAACACCGTGCTTTTAATTTTTTTTGCCAGGGCTGCATGTACACGGGCCGATATATACTGCATACGTGAGTAGCGGACATATACAGTATATATACACACACATACAGCATATCGCACGCACGGGGTACAAGCGGTGGACACGACAGCTATGAGGAACGGATATTAATCGGCTGGAGACTCGCGCACACATCGCTCGTATTCCATCGATCACCACAATCACACGGAACGTGAATGCGCTGTGATATATATCGACATCGGTTCATAAAGACGGGGCTTGAAAATAAGCCTAACACATTTTTAGTTCGTGCGATTTTTTTTCATTTGTAAATTGCCAACACATTTTGAGCACCGCCGCCACCGCCGCCGCCGCTCCCCGTGAACAAGCCCGCAACAGGGCACCCGAGTCTCGCGGGTCCGCGACACCAGCAGCAAGGATCTATTCGTGCGCGTGGACGCCAAATCACCATCGTCGTCGTCGTCATCATGGGGCGGCTCTGGAGTTCTCCACGCGCCACCTCCCCGTGATCGTGATCACGACGTCGACGTCGTCCGTTCGACGAACGCGCACCGTCGTTCGAAGCGAGCGCAGCCATCCCACGGGGGGGGGGGGGGGGGGTCTGTCCGGGAAGCGACAGCTGTGGCTTGCTCCGCCGCAGACTGAGCGGCTCAACTCACGAGCGGCAGCAGCGGCAGCAGCAGCCTCAACCAGAACGGAAACCGCGCGACGGACGAGTTCCGTTCCAAAAGGTCACTTTCCACTTCGACCGTCATCGTCGTCGTCGTCGTGAAAACAACACAAACACAAATCCGCGTAAGCTACCGAGAAAGAGAGGGAAGCATCCGGGTGACGAGGAAGCGCTCGCGTCGCTGTGGACAGCAGGGGCCGCGAGACGCGGATGCGAATCTGCGAGGTTTTCGTTCGGTCGCTGCTGCTGCTGTCTGTCTCTCTCTCGCGTGCAGCCCAGCACAGCCGTCCCCTGGTCCATGACCCCCGCGCCCTCCGCCCGTGGCTCTCATTTCCTCCCTGAAGAGGCGACTCAAAGCAGAGCACGCGCCGAGTTCGCGTCAAAGTTACCGCCGGCGCGCGCTCGTCTGTGGACGCCCAACCCCCACGGTGGCGTTTTGGGCGTCCACAGACAATCTGGTAAAAAATAAAGTGAATTTGTAAAGACACCGCCAACACCATCTCACACAAGAACTGCGCCATACGTACGCGGCGCCACCTGTCACCCAAGAGCCGACCCTGGGTGGTTTTCGTTCTGAAATTTCGCGAATTAAGCGAAACCCATCGCAACCAACGAGCCGCTCAACATGCATCTCAACGAGTGGCTTCCCATGTCGGCTTATTACCCCGGCAAACCACAACTTGGGGACGCTTGATAAACAATCCACCACGGGGGGGGGGGGGGGACTCCGGCTGTCGGGGCAGGTCTAATTAAAATCAGAGCTGTCATCCTACCGAGAAACACAAACAATGCAACCAAAATATCCAGCCAGGGAGCAAAGGGTGGGTGGGGGAGTGGAGGCAGAGGGGGTTGGAGAGAAATGCAAGACATTTTCAATGGAGATGAGGCGGCCGCAATGAGGCCATGTGTGTCAATTGCCATAAAACAATCTCAGTGACCCTTGTCAACAATCCGCAGTGACATTCACGACTCGGCGAGTGGGCGGTCGCTCGGGTTAAGTGTGGACCCAAAGCACGGACTGCGGATCATCTCTCTCTCTCTCTCCCGAGTTCGTGTGAAACGCATCACCCACACGAACGACGCGACGTACGGCGGAATTTCCCCGAGTTCAAATGTTCCCCGAAATCGTGCGCTTCGTGAACATTTGCCACTCCAGCCAAAGTTGGAACAGCCCCCTCCCCGCCGTTACGGTCACCGCTTGAGTTGACAGCAGCGCGATCAGCACCGGCAATCGATGGAACCCCCCACACCCAACACGCAAAATCACCGCCTAGATTTTATACCGGTCATCTGTCACCCTCGAGTTACGTCCGGTGATGTTTGGCGGGCACAGGCTTTTTTCTTTATACCCTACACGCGGGCACGATTTCCAAAAAGTTCTGCCCGATAAATCTACGACCTCCAGGGACGGTGTTGGCGGTGGGTAGAGTGTTTACGCAAAAGCTGAAGAAGACTTCACCCAGAGCCGCATGCAGTCACACACAAGACGTCGAGGCGACTCCTGTCGCTAACACACCATCCCGTGCGTTACTAATTTTAGTTGGGTTTATATTTTATTACATTTGAAGCCTTAAAATGCATTTTACTATTACTTAAAAACGTTTAATATCCACGAATGTAAAACTATTCCTTCACCAATTCATTTTATTTTCTTTCAAATTTCACAGCAATCTAGGCCACGTGCTGTAAAATTCTCTCCAAATATCCATGTCGAACTATTGCGTTCTTGAGAAGGGCCATTGCCCACACTACATATTAGTTACACGGTCCTTCCAGCTGTGGCGAAGCGGTGGTTTATGCCCAGCGCTATGTACAACGGCCACTGAAGTTTTATTCCTGGCCAGAGCTGCCACCAATGGCGAGCGATATCGGAACCAGGTCCTGGGCCCACCCTTCAAACGATCCAAAAAACCGTGGCCAACAAAACCCTGCATCCGGCACGGTGTGTGTGTGGTGGGGGGGCCTTCACCCAGCAGTGGATTAACAAAGGGATGCAAATGTTTCAGTTACATGGCTAATGTTAACGACAACGGTGGAAAAGAAAGTTCTGCCTGTACCAAAACAATTATAATCACTGTAACGTGTGCCGAGACCAACTCTGGCGGTGATGTTCGAATGGAAATGTTGCTTATGCAGACAGGTCACGTAGAGTCTCCCACCGCAACCGCCCCCCCCCCCCCCTCCTCGTGAGGATGACAAGAGACCCGTTCATTTTTAAACGCCAATATTATGAAAGTCACACGTTGGGGGGGGGGGGGGGCGCTAACGAGGCCACCAGCCAAACAAACTGCGCCTCAATCGCACGAGCGGTAGCGTTACTGCCGCGCAATAAAATTGTTTTTTTTGGAGTTACATCGCGTAAGCAGAAATGTGCCACAGCCAATTAGTTAGGGTTGGTCACGCGAACAAAAGGTGCCAATGTTGACTAGTACAGCACACCGGTGTGTTGGAGAATAAACCCACATTTACAATTCGCGCACTGTGACGTTTCCGCTGGCAATTACATCCAGCATCATCGGGCGACTTTGCCAGAATTGTAAAGCAGTCACTAATCGGCACCTTTTGTTCGCGTGACAAGCCTCACTAATTGGCTTTGTTCGGGTGGCGGCGGGTTAACGACACATTGACACTTGCGCGATCTAACGCCCCCTTTATTATGAATGACAATTGGTCACGAAAGCGTCACCGCGTGTCAAACCGACTGCTGGGTGGGTGTGTGGGTGTGATGGGACAGAGCGCCACCCCCACCACCACGCGTTCACCAGCGCACACCGCCTCGCAACGGCAGAAGTCCCCAAGCGGCAGACGGCGGCCGTTCCGCTGTACCTTAGGTCACAATAAATAACACAAACAAAACATCCAATCTTCCCCCCCCAACACGTTCCGAACTCTGTAACTTGTAACCACGTGTGAAAGCCGGTCTCACATTTTTCAGGGTGCAGAGGTGAAGTTAAACAGTGCAACTCGCGGGAGGAAGGTCGCTGGAAACTCACCCTCGTATTGGAAATGTCTCCGTTTAATATGGCTCGCGGTACAGGGAAACAAACTAAACTATTATTTAAACGATAGGTAAGGCCCTGCGAGTGGCACAGCTCTTTTTCAATTAGAGACCGAGCTGAGCCAAGTGGCGGCTGATCGCGTGGACATTTAGAGCAGCCAAACACTCTAAACGCGTGACGTTGATTCTCAATGTGGAGGGGAAGAATCCACGCCACCACGGGGAGGGCATGCCAACTCCAGGTATACGGCAGGCGGTCAGGATCGATCGCTCGACCTCTTGTATACCAGGCGAGGTAGTTAACATTTCGCACCCGTGACGCCTCCGAGGTTCGAATGTTTCACGTCATACGATCGAATGCAACCGAGACAACAGTGGAGCACCGTTTAAAAGGAGACGCGCTGCTTACGACACACAATGCTCGTTACAACAAACATGGGCCCGCTAGTTTTCTTGTGGCAAGGTACGAATGTATTCTATATAACAAAAAAGTGTGTTTTTTTTTATTAAGGCAGATAATGGATATTCCTCAAGTTACTTTTGCACGCAATTGCTTAGATTTTAATTGATTTTCCAATGCTCCATTTGGCCCAAATAGGTCTGCAGAGGTTACATGTCGTTGACTGGATGGGCTCCGTGGATCGAGTGATTTAGCTGGGACAGATGGGAAAGGGGCAGTTGAGGAGGGTTAAGGCTGCAGAGGAAATTAAACACGCTAAAACGTGTTTAAAGTTTGGCTAAACTCGGGTCAATTTACACTCAAACGCGGTGACGGTAAAAGCAATATTATTGACGAAAATTTAAAGTGGGTTGGGCCCCCCTGTTTTTGTTGGGTGCATTGAAGAAACTGAGAACGTGCAAGCGACAAAGATGCACTGTTCAAGTCGAGCTCTGCTGGAGAAAGCGCGCAAGGGGGCAGCCCCCCCCCCTCATTACAAAAGCGCCCTCGGGTGCACAACAAAGAAAATCATCCGCATTGTACTCATTTGGTCTTGAGACACTGGGATCCTTCCACAGCGCCCGTCACTCTGTACGTAGCAACACACACACACAGCGCCTGTCACCTGTAACATAGCAACACACACACACGCACAGCGCCTGTCACGTGTAACATAGCAACACACACACACACACAGAGACTGTGCTGGAACGAGGAGGAAAACGGGCACTATCCGACACAACAAAACCACCGTGATTTGGTTGCTCCGAGACTCTGACCACTTGAACAAAGTCGAGGAGGCCACGGCGTGACGGTGAGAGCCCACGTGGGGCAACGCTCCAACGAGGCCGACCGAGAGAGGGCTTCATCGCCACACTTTGCATGGGGGGGGCGGCGGGGCGGACAACAACCCGGTTTTGACGCAACAGGTTTCATAACAAGTCGCGGTTTTTGTTTGTTTTTGGACGAGTTGGGGTGTTTTTGGACGAGTTGGGGTGTTTTTGTTGCTTGTTACAGCATATCATACACGTTGACAAGCGCACACTTTAAAAACGATTGGGCTAACTGAATAACAAACAAGTATTAATTCTGCTCTCGACAGCACGGCACACGCCTCGTCGAGCGACTTGGCAACGTGGGGGACCCCCCCCCCCCCCAAAGCCGTTCTCCCCCTCGTTCATCTTTAGCTCAAAGATAAAATTCGCCGCTCAGTCCAACAAAAAAGTATATTTAAACCGCCTGCCATTCATCTACGACTATCCTACAAAGAAAGCAAGTTCCCAGCTACTATGATCGTATGACACCCACCCACCCAACCACCCAAGGTAATTTTTTGTGTATTTTTTTTACAAGGTCCGACCCTTCCCCTTTCAAAAAATTCCCACCGTTAAACTTTTATTACATTTTTAGTTATCATATATGTAGTCTGCTCAATCAAGTGTGCACGACATCTGTACAGAAGAAAACTGAACAATGCTTCCCAAATCCGGCAACAAGCGACGGCACGTTATATACTTGTGCTGCGTATACTTCGCACAATGTACGCAAAACATATGCTCAACACTTTCACTCAGGCCGTGACGTACTGTATATATGAACGCAATGCAGAAGTCGCACCGGTGTCAGAAGAGCGGAGAGGGGGTGGGGGAGAAACACATTTTGATGCAGAGAAAAAAAATTCGCACATTTTTGTGTCACATTGTAAACAAAAAAAGTTTAAATTTAAAGATTACAAAAAAAATTACCCGCAAAAAACAACGCAAACAGTTGCCGCGTTTAGGCATCTAAAGTTGTCTTTTTGTTTGTTTAAAGCCAGCTCCATCGTCATTTACGTGGCGCCATCGATCAAGGGCCGGCGCGAGCCTCGCCCCGGCTCCTTTATTATTCATTCGGAAGCACTGAACCCACGTGGACGTGGGGGTGGGGTGGAGGTGGGGTGGAGGGGGGAGACGTGGCACACGGGAGGCTCACGAGGAGGGGTCGTCCCCGCCCCCCCCCCTCTCGTGACCCCTCTCGTGACCCCTCTCACTTCATCCAGTCCAGCAGAGCTCAACCTCCCAACCAACCGTCCCAGCGCTCTTCACCAATTAACCAAGACGCACTGTCAATTTTACGATGCGGACAGTCCATCCCCAATGGGCCCTTTGGGGGGGTGGGGGGGGGGAGATGGAGACCCAGAATTGGCTGCGTTTTGGGACACGCCACCGCGCCTCGCCGTTTTGAATCGCGTGCGACGTGGAAACGCTTTCCGGGTTATGTAACGGCGCCGTCCGCCCGTGCCCTTCTCAATGGGCTTCTCTTTCAGGTCACAATTCGCGATCTGAAAACGGACAATTCGAGTTAAGACGACGCCAGAGCACCGGCCGACGTCGAAGACCGATAATCTCCAGCAGGAGCCGTTTGCGATCCCGGCACGGACGGGCGCGTGAAAAGCAAGAGTCGGCTGGGTATAAGTAGCTACCGGGGGGGGGGGGGGGGGGGGGCTACACGGCGGGGGGAAAACACCGCGGGGCATTCTGTGGACCCACGCGAGAGAGGACGGTTGCCCTTCAGTCCGAGCTGTCCGGCGGACAAAGCAGGAAGAGGAGAGCTCACAAGAGTCGATCTACAACTCGCGTGACCAGCAAGCAAAGGTACCCCCCCCCCCCCGCCCAATCCCATACAAAAGCCCAGCAGCAGCTCTTCGCTATCATGGGGGGAAGGCGGGCGGTGGGTAGGGGGGGGGCAGCCATTGGCGCCAAAAAAAATGGCCTACAAATGTCAATACGCAATTGGTGGATTGAAAGCGTTTTGTTTCAGGTGTGGGGAGGCGTCCCCCTCCGTTAGTGTACACGATGGGGAGGAGTTGAGTAGTAGTTACGTTATTTATATGGGTTTATTGTGTTCTCTCGACAGCAATGTCCTCATAGAGTCCATACGTTTTTGTTTTTTACACCAAAAGGCGCAACCATAAATTTAAAAAGAAAATATTAAACTGACAATCGTATATTGTTAAATAATAACAATATAACAATAATGAGCTTATTGTATTATACAATTCGTATATAAATATGGGATCTCATAAGCCAATAGGTTCGTGCAATATTTTAAATCGTACATTGAATAGTTTTTGACCGTTCCTTAAGTGTGTACATACAAAAAGCCGGGAGTCGTGTTAAATAACCCACCCAGATAGCAATGTTTACAAAACACTTTCAACATATTACTACGCTATGGCTTCGCCAATTTGTCAAAATGATTTTATGAAAACAAAGAGGCAAATAGTTTTAATTGGATTAAAAAAAATGGGCGGGGAGCCTCATTTGCTTTGCGATGTTTACAATTAAAGCAAATGCAACATTACGAACGCACATAACGTGTACCCAACACGTCGGTTTCGACAGCCAGCGTTATAAAAGATGCTCGGGGTAGGAGGCCACGTGAATGATACTGGCCCCACGTGAACGACGTGCCTGGGGGGGGCAGGGGCAGCCAAACCGGCGGCTCGTGAGCTGCAGGGGCAGTTTCAAGTGCAGATCGTTTAAAACTATCACTCTTCATCTTAACTTTTATTTGAAACGGGGGGGGGGGGGGAAGATCTGCGGAACCTCGCGCTCCTCCTCCCCCCACCCCCCCTCCCGGGCAGAGCAGCCAAACACAAATACTTCTGGAGTGCTCCTGCAGATTTCCATATTTTAAAAAAATGGGTGCGAGGGTAGCGGCTCTGCATGGGCCAATAGGCCGGTCCTCCCCCTCCTGTGAAGGTTTTGGGAATGCGGCTCTCGGGCTCGGGAGGTTTTGGCCACCCCTGCAAGAGATACTCGAGGACACCCGTCAGGCCAGCTGTGTGTCGGTGCACCACGACTTTAACTGCACACCTTCTGCGGGGACACAATTGGGAACAAGGTGCGCCTTTGTATTTGTTACCGCTCGTTTGACGTCACTGGCGAGGCCCCCACTCCCCAGAAAGTAATCGTAACACTAACCGAGATGCACGAGAATGACAATGAGGCCGCCGGTCGTGTTTTCCTGAAGCACAATGAGGTTTGCATCGGTCTGCGGAGGATACAGACGCACAGATGGAAGCTACTGGCGGGATGCATTGAAACGTGATTTGTGCAGCCTAGGCGATGTCTGCATCCCAGTGTTAAATGGCTCTTTCAGGACGAGGGTCGTCAACCCTGTCCCTACTCCTCACGCAGCCGCAACAACTCGCAAGGCTACCCTCACACGCCGCCCGCGGTTTTGCCTCGTTCTGCCGTCGGTGACCAAGGCCCTGACGAGGAGGTTAGTTAGGCCGTGTGCCACTGTACATCAGTGGCGCAGCATTTTGAGAGAGGGGAGGGAACGATGTTCAAACGCAAGGCGGTCGGTCGGTCGGTCGCACGTTTTAAGAACGCTTGAGTGAAAGTCGTTGAGGAGAAAAATCTTGACGTAGTGCTTTGCTTCCTCACTTTGGGCACGCGGCAACATCGTTCCTGGGGAATGGGATCCTCCACGGTGTAAATTAAACAACGCAGAAGTGTTGTTTATCTTTTTTTAACGCAATTTGTTGTGCAGCTGCAACAACGCAATTGAGTAACCATTGAAAACTTTAGGTTAGTTACAGTTGATAGTGATTCCAATAGTTGCTACCAATTGCATTTCTGTATTCGTGGAGTTCATTACCTTTGGATGGCCTTATACATTTAAGACCGTTTAATACAGTGGAACAGGCCAGAAATCCTGGCATGCGTGCCGAACGGGTAAATGCAGCTGGGAGAGCTCACTGCATTATCGGCTATCCAGAGATTAACAACAAAGAAGCATCATTAGGTCAAGGAATCATCAATTAAGTTTTCAAATTAATATTGGGCCTTTCCACGTGTTTTTACATGGCTGACGAGTCTCAAAACGCGTTATTCTGTCAGGTTGGCAAACGCATTTATTTGGGCTCTGAATGACTTTCATGGAGTGTTTAAACATGAAAAAAAAAACAACAAAATAAAAACTCAGCGTGATATATTTTTCAAGGTCAAGGGAGCCGAAATCGATACACTGTTGCGCATTGCTCACTCTTCGGTGGAACTTTTAGAGTGACACTAGAAGGCGTATTCATTTACCATTCTACCAGGGGCAAAGGGTTATTTAATCACATCCTGGGGATTCATACGAGAGGCCGGGGGGGGGGGAGAAGGGGAAAGCGGTGAAGGGAGGTGGGTGGGGGGGGGGGTCACACGTTTCCCTAACCCGTGCCCGCCGTGGGAGCGCGCGTGGGGAGTTGCGCCCGCGCGTGGGCAGACAGTGCCGAGGACGGTGCCCGCGTGGGCGACAACGAGCCGTGCCGCCGGCCCCCCTGCCGCGTTGCTGGATCAACCGAGTGCCGTGTCTCTCCTCGCTCCGGTGGTCACGTCCCCTTGCCGCCGCCGCCGCCGCCGCCGCCACCGCCGTTACTGGTTCTGGAAGCCCGCCATGCTGAAGGTGGCTGGGCTGGGGATGAGGCTGGCGCTCTGGCCCTGAGAAGGCTGGGTCCTGTAGGCGAAGGAGTTGCCCGCGGCGCTGCTCATCCAGCCTGCGGCCGCCGCGGCTGCGGCCGCCGGCTGCGTCTGCCTGCGCCGAGCGAACAAAGAGCCCGTTAACACAAAGGTCCAACCCCCGTGCAGCCTTAACAGACAGTTGGGGTAAGTGCCATTGGCGAGTAGACCTACGAAGGCCGGCACGGCACACGACCGGCCGCCTTTGTCTCCCCAGTGGTGATGTTTACACACCAGGTACTCATTTGAGGCCGAGTCGACCTAGGGGGAGGCCCAGGACTCATTCAGTAAATCGTCACTTGTGTTGACCGCGAGCGAGAATCTAACTCGGGTCGCCGGGTTTGAAGTGCCGCGCGCTAACCGCTAGGCTACCGCTCCCCTGAATAACCCAGCCACTGATGCACGCGTTCACCACCAGCACCACCACTATAGCGGCAGCAGAAGGGAAGACTGCGGGCGCTGAAGTAAACACCGCGTAGCGTAGGACGTGCCCAACCTCCCCCCCGGGACAGACAGGGGCGCCGACAAGCCAAGTACCTAGTCCACGCATTGTGCAACTCACCGATTCACGTCAGCCACTCGCTCACAAGAGGTCCGTCAAAACCTACCACGGTTACTGTACTCGTGAACTTCACTCATTCATTCCTTCCTCCATCAATGTTGAGGACTCTCATCTCACGCCACACTGGATTCACTCACCACACTGCAGGCCACACTTCTCTTTCTACTTCTCCTCTCACACGGCTCCCTCCACTTTGGAATTCCCTCCCATCGTCTCTTTTTCCCCAAGTTTTCAGAATAACCTCGCTCAATTCAAGAGACGTGCAAACCGCTCATCGATTACAACTTGGACAACGCCACTGTTCGTTACTGCCCACTTAGAAGTGTGGGACCTTGGGCATTGTGCTCGGCAAACTGTTTAAAACCAATGAAATCAGTCTTGTAGCGATGTGTGAATATAAGGCTATAAGGGTGATGCTACTTCCAGCTTATTCCACGACTGTGAGATGTGCCACTGTTGGTACAGGGGTTCTGCAGGAGCAAAGCGAGCCCTTTGAGCCACCACCTCACAATGCCGACTACAACGAACCCGTGACTGCAGCAGTCCTGCATGGCAACTACATTCGCCACGGTGCCGTGATTGCAGTGATGTAGCCTCCACAACCTCCGCGATTTGTGTGGTTGGCTACGCACGGTGGTGCGAAAGAAGTTCAATGTACGAACATTCTAGAAAACTTTTTTCTTTGTTTGCTAGAATCTTGAGATTCGTCACAGGCTGCCGAAGACAAAAAGTGGATTTAAAAAAGATCAAGACCCTCATGACTTACGGAACGCCGACGCAGTGCGCGAGTGTGGATGGTACTTACTCTAAGCTGTACCCTTGCTGGTTCCAGGCCTGGCCGTACATGCTGTACTGTGGGACCTGCCAGCCGTTGTTGATGAACTGCTGGTACTGCTGGCTTCCTCCATACCAGGGCCCCCACTGGGTCCACGGCTGCTGCGTGTAGCCCACCTGGCTGAACTGCTGAGTGAGACGAAGGCACGGCGTGTCGTCAGCCGGGTGAAACACGCGCGAGTGTCTGTGCGCGTGCGCCGAATACACGCGCGCGTTTCTTTTATGAAAATGGCATTCGAAATGTATTGCCAGAGTAAGGATATAAGAATCTAAACTGGATGCAAACGGTGACCAACACAGAAGCAAGAAAAAGGTTGCACATAGAGGAAGACCTGATGCAGGCAATGATAGGAAGTAAACTGACACTATTTGAACACACATGTAGAGGATGCACAACAACAGGAACATTTAATGTGTATCGTTCGGAAAAATGGAAGGAACCGGAAAGAGAGGGAGACCTCACAGGTAATGTCTTGCTGACAACAGAACATATTGGCACAAGACAGAAAGAAAAGTGGAGACAACTGACAAAATATGCAGTGAACACCTATGGGCTATCTGCCAATGGATCGTGATGATTATTATTACGTACCTATACACACACACATTTTAAAAAGCCCATTAAGAGAAACGAGGTACAAGTACGTTAGCCTGCTTTGGGATCGGCTGGGAGACGGAGCAAACCGTTTTGGGATCAACGTGCGGCTGGGTGGTTCACGCAAACGATGAGCGGGCGAGTCTCTCCTCGTTCTTACAAAAAAAAATACTTTTCAACATCTCACACTTGGCCTGGATGCGCTGTGTATGCATGTATGTGGGGGGCCGTGGTGCTCCCGTTCATTCACAGCTGTCTGGGGCTGCCGACAGCAACCTGTTGATGTGAGCCAAAGTCGGGCCACTTTCAATCGCAAGCCAATGGGGCCCGTTTTCATACCCGTGCCCAGGCCCAGCAAATGACTGTTCAATTTGTATCTAATTACATTGATAATGGTGTTCACCTAATGCGACGCATAACAACATTCCTATGGTGGGGAAAAGTTATACCAAATGACAACCACTTGTGACTTCCCGCAAAGCGGTACTCATTTTTATAGAAGTACGGGAAGAGAAGGCCCGAATTGACTTCTCACCGGGGATTTTGACTCAATATCATGGCAATGCAGAAATGTTCACGTAAAAAAATCCAACTGTCCCGTACAAATAAAAGAACACAGTGGCCAATCCAGTCTCCATCCAGACGGCACAGAGATGTAGCAATTGGTAACGAATGGGAGAGACGCAATAGGCAGAACGTCTCGCGTTTCAAGTGGTGTCGCTCACCACCAACCACAAGATGGCGCTTCTCGGCAGCAGGCACTCAACACTGAGTGGGAATGCATTGATCCACGAGCTCTCTCGGGCATGGAAAGAGGCTCGATTGAGTAAAACACCACACGCAGATTTGTCTTGCTGTGCGCGCGACCATTGCGGCATGCGCAGGCTAAGAGATTAAACTCGTGACACACAACCTGGTTTAATCATGGGTCGGAGCCCGAGTGTTCATCTCAGCCACACAGGCTCAATACCCTGCTGTGGGAATTGGCTCCTTGAATTTATGTAGAACTTCTTCTTTGGTTCTTTCGGTAAAGTCACGTAGAATGAGAATAAAATAATAAACTGATAAAATAAAATAACACAATAATATTCTCACGAAGTTTCGGCCACAACACAAGCGGCCTTCATCAGGTGAAGGGGCGAGACTGTCTGGTAGGACAGCGTGACTTTACCGAAAGAACCAAAGAAGATGAATCATTGCAGTCACGAAAGCTTTAAATCGAAATATGTAGAACTTCTTTCGCACCGTCGTCGATAGCCAACCATGCCACAAAACAGGTACCCCCCCCCCCCAGTACACCTAACAATAAGAAATGCTGATATACACCCAAATGAGTGCCCATGCTCAACCAACTTCCCACCAGGATCTGACCTGTTCTGTACAATTAACAGGTCCCTGCAGGGTGGGCTGGTAGGACAAGTCTCTGCGCTGTCTATTGCTGATTTTACACCCAACAGCACAAGATTTCACTTCGTTAAAGTATTGAAAGGGGACGGACGGACACATTAATCTATTGCAGGCTGGTACACTCAGTTTACAACTTCGTTCCTACCAGTAAAAGAACACAGTGGAGCTGAAAGTGACTTCAATTAGTCTGGGTGACTAAACTGGGGCGCCGTAGTGGCGAAAAGTTAACTACCTCGCCTGGTATACAACAGGAGGAGGATGTGGGTTCGATCCCAACCCTGACGCCTGTATATTTGGAGTTTGCATGTCTCTCTCCCCGTAGTCGTGTGGATTTTTCTCCAGGTCCTCCGTTTTTTCCCTCCATACTTAGAAACATGCGTTTCGAGTATGTGGCTGCTATAAAATTCCACATAAGCCACTTTTTGTTGGGCTATCATTTGTGGCCGGGTCACTTCTGAAAAAGAGCTATATAGCCGAGTGGGCCTTTCCTGGTAAAAATAAGAGTTTCGCTTACAATAAACCCTAACCGGTTACATTTTAGTTGATTGAAAACATCGTAATGCCTGGAGCTCTGATAAGGCGAATGCCGGTACCTGCTGAAACTGATTCACAGGGTCCGACGCCTCCTTCCCCCAGAAGCACTTGACACTGAAGCCCTCGATGGTGCTGCCGTTGACCGACACGATGGCGTGGGCGGCACTCTCGTGTGTGGCAAACCTGCAGCGCAAGAAACATACAAAAAAACTCGTTTAAGCCAAAGGTTTCTAAAAGTAAAATTTAAAAAAAAAGTGCTTCGGGCCAACAAATTCATAAAATGTTTACTGCAACTGTCCCCATGTTACCGAGCTCCATAAACTCAAAGACGACAAAAGGATTTGCAAATTAAAAAGTACGCAAGGAGAAGCCCTAACCTATCTTTGATTGGGCCACGCAGCCTGCAGTGATTATAGACAAGGAAGGTGCCTGCTTGTGCCGTGAAATAAACGGCTAAGCATTTCAGAACGTAAAGTGACATTAAGAAACAGAGTTATTCAGCTTTCCCATGCAATACACACCAGCCATGTCCATACAAAATCAGCCATGCTAGACAGAGCCGTAAGTTGCCTTGCCGACTACATAACCCCAACCAGCCAATTAGAGTGTGGATTGCTTCAGACAACAAGATCAAATTTCATTTGCTTTTTAAACAAAGTTATGCCGTTGCAGAATCTGACGCAATTTCATATCCCAAGCGTTCCCCAATGTGTAACCGAGCATCAACACGGACAACATTGTCGCTCTTAATATCACGCGAAAAAAACGCACAATTTAACTTTGGCTTCAGCGACTGAAGAGGCCAATGATGTGTGCGAGAGTCTATAGCTAAAGCTTCCGAAATTCTGTGTTTTCCATCGCAGCCAGACACCAGGGACGTCGAGTTCTTATTTGCAGCCAGATAACGGGCTCAATCCATTCGAGAGGTGTACGCACCGCCGCTGGGTGCGGGGGTGTTTGCATGGTCGAGCGAGCACACAACGTGCACGTGACGACGGTACCACACGTGTGTGTGTGCACCAACTGTAACGGCGAGTGGTTGTGTAGCGGCTAGCGCGCTGCTGTGCGAGGAACCTGGCAAAAACACCAGTGGCGATTATCTGAACTGGTCTTGGGCCTCCCCTAGGGTCGACTCAGCCTTAAACGAGTACCCGGCGCAGTGTGTGAACATCGCCACGAGGGAGACGAAGGGGCCCGGGCGTGGCGCTGGCTGCTCACCAACGCGTGTGCCGTGCCGGCCTTCATAGGTGTTCCTCGCTAAGAGCACTTGCCCCAACAGTGTGTTGAGGCTACATAGGGGATCTTTGTCTTTGTGTGCACCAACCGTATAAAAGAGTATCCTTTGTCCGGGAACACCCGGATCTCCAAGATCTGACCGAAGAGCAGGAAGGTCTGACGCATGAGTTGTTCTGTGGTTGGCCAGAAAGAAACGGATTCATGAGAGGGCAACATCGTCAAGCATGAACATCGAACAATAAAACTCACTCCACTGACACTACGCCGTTATCCTTGTGGCCATATAAGTGCACGACCAGTCAATACGAAACGCAGTGTAAGATTTGGAAGCCATTCGCCAGAACAGCAAAGCCTCACACTGAGCCCCGTAAATATCACCCGGGATTTGGTACAGTGAGGGAAAAAAGTATTTGATCCCCTGCTGATTTTGTACGTTTGCCCACTGACAAAGAAATGGTCAGTCTATAATTTTAATGGTAGGTTTATTTGAACAGTGAGAGACAGAATGACAACAAAAAATCCAGAAAAACGCATGTCAAAAATGTTATAAATTGATTTGCATTTTAATGAGGGATATAAGTATTTGACCCCCTCTCAATCAGAAAGCTTTCCAGCTCCCAGGTATCTTTTATACAGGTAACGAGCTGAGATTAGGAGCACACTCTTAAAGGGAGTGCTCCTAATCTCAGCTTGTTACCTGTATAAAAGACACCTGTCCACAGAAGCAATCAATCAATCAGATTCCAAACTCTCCACCATGGCCAAGACCAAAGAGCTCTCCAAGGATGTCAGGGACAAGATTGCAGACCTACACAAGGCTGGAATGGGCTACAAGACCATTGCCAAGCAGCTTGGTGAGAAGGTGACAACAGTTGGTGCGATTATTCGCAAATGGAAGAAACACAAAAGAACTGTCAATCTCCCTCGGCCCGAGGCTCCATGCAAGATCTCACCTCGTGGAGTTGCAATGATCATGAATGGTGAGGAATCAGCCCAGAACTACACGGGAGGATCTTGCCAATGATCTCAAGGCAGCTGGGACCATAGTCACCAAGAAAACAATTGGTAACACACTACACCGTGAAGGACTGAAATCCTGCAGCGCCCGCAAGGTCCCCCCGCTCAAGAAAGCACATATACATGCCCGTCTGAAGTTTGCCAATGAACATCTGAATGATTCAGAGGACAACTGGGTGAAAGTGTTGTGATCAGATGAGACCAAAATGGAGCTCTTTGGCATCAACTTAACTTGCCGTGTTTGGAAGAGGAGGAATGCTGCCTATGACCCCAAGAACACCATCCCCACCGTCAAACATGGAGGTGGAAACATTATGCTTTGGGGGTGTTTTTCTGCTAAGGGGACAGGACAACTTCACCGCATCAAAGGGACGATGGACGGGGCCATGTACCGTCAAATCTTGGGTGAGAACCTCTTTCCCTCAGCCAGGGCATTGAAAATGGGTCGTGGATGGGTATTCCAGCATTACAATGACCCAAAACACACGGCCAAGGCAACAAAGGAGTGGCTCAAGAAGAAGCACATTAAGGTCCTGGAGTGGCCTAGCCAGTCTCCAGACCTTAATCCCATAGAAAATCTGTGGAGAGAGCTCAAGGTTCGAGTTGCCAAACGTCAGCCTCGAAACCTTAACGACTTGGAGAAGATCTGCAAAGAGAAGTGGGACAAAATCCCTCCTGAGATGTGTGCAAACCTGGTGGCCAACTACAAGAAACGTCTGACCTCTGTGATTGCCAACAAGGGTTTTGCCACCAAGTATTAAGTCATGTTTTGCAGAGGGGTCAAATACTTATTTCCCTCATTAAAATGCAAATCAATTTATAACATTTTTGACATGCGTTTTTCTGGATTTTTCTTGTTATTCTGTTTCTCACTGTTCAAATAAACCTACCATTAAAATTATGGACTGATCATTTCTTTGTCAGTGGGCAAACGTACAAAATCAGCACTGCCTTTGAGGCAGTATGGAATTGTGCACCACTGCCAATGCAGTATTGGCAAAATGATCGGTTTAATTCCATAGAGATGGACCACAGGAGCATCTTCTGTTCCACCAACCTACAGACACACACATCTTTGCTGCCCTGCAGGTGGGAATCTCACACAAGAAGCTCCATCGCCACGTTATTCACCCCCTGCCTCCAAGCCCTTCGCAACTGAAACCATGTGCTCCTTTTCACGCACGTATTCCTGAGCCCTTGTGAGATCTGTCTTGAAACTAGAGCATCTGCCACTAAACCGTTGATAACTTTTTTTGTTTGAAATAGAACGAAGCGTTACAAAAATAAAAACGGCGACGGCGTAACTAATTGGGCATCGTCGTGCGCAAATACACGTCTCTCTGTGTCGTCGCCACGGATGTGGGTGTCGGGCAGAATTTATAGGATTTAGTGCCACTGGTTGAACGTCGGTTTAAGGTACAATGAAGATCTCCGTGATATTGTTTTAGAGTTTAGCAACTCAAAGAGCTTAAGGAAAAGGTTAATAATTCTGGGGTACAGATCACCACAGACCACATAAAACTAACATTATTACAGTTCAGAATCTTTATTTAGACTGGAGGAATCTGATGAGCTATATTAAGTTATTTTTCACAGATGTCCAGTAGGGGAGGCGGGTCAGCAAATTACATTAAAAAAAAAGAATGCAAAAAAAATCGATATCAGAGCAAGACAAAGAAAAGTTAAGCAAGTTTCTCATAAATATATGAAAAGTACAGAAGTATAAATTGGCACAACTCTTAGTCGTCAGCTCTGGGCAAAGGCCTCTCTCCCCCCTCTTCACCATCCCTTACCACCTGCATCCACTGCACGCCTCCCACATCGTAAACCTCGTCCCACTATCTCAGCTTCTACTTCTCATTCTCCGGCCCTCCCATTGGCTTCCAGCACGTTGTTAAAATGTTGCCATCTGACATCCTCGCTAGATGAGATGCTCCGCTCCATTTGTGTTTATTTGCTTTGCTCTTACATGGGTTTATCGTCGTTTAAACTCCAAAATCTTAATTCGTCTCATAATCCCTGCCCTTTTGTTTTCAAAATCCTCCTCTCTCTCTCGCTCTTTGGTAAACTTTCTTTCATAGACCAAGTTTGTGGCGCGTAGTTCATGACCGGTACATTAGCTCACTTTTTAAACAGAACGAAACATTTTCAAGTACTAGTAATTCTATTCCTGTATTTACAAATGATAAACTATTTTGTATATGAAACTATTTATTCTAAATAAGAATATTAATGCACAATTTTAATTTATCCATTGTATAGTGTTGTTTTTTTTCTTCCCAAAAACGAGTAAGTAATTTTAGTTGTTTGAAATATTTGAAGTCCTTCAAAAGTATTATTTACATCCTGTTCTTTTATCTCTTCCAGCAAACGTTTTAATTTAATTATCTGATTGAGAAAATAAAACGTTGAGATTTCTTACACACTTGATCGAACAACCAGACTAAAGCCTCCTCCTCATAAGCGTCAGGGTATCGTGTTTTTTTTTTTTTTACCCAGGGAACGCAGTGGGATCCTGAATAAACAATGTCACGAAGCGGTCCTTGAAGAGCAGCCGCATGCGGCTCTGGAGCTGCAGGTTGCCGATCCCTGGTTATTTCCCAATGCGAGTCACTCATCCAGTGCACACGGTGGTCACGGTGGTCCCTTGGCCTCACCTGTGAGTCCCTGGGTGATGCCTCCACAGTAGACGGTACAGTTTGTGGGGCTTGACTGATTGAGAACCTCTTCGAATGACAGGTGCTTGGGGTCTGCAAACGGGAAACACGGACACAGCCAGATGCTTAGTGGCATGGGCGGTGAACACCTAGGCATCAAGTTACAATATCAACTCAAATATTTAATTTCACCAGGTAAAGCCCAATGGAGCTATGAGCTCTTTTTCAAAAGCAACTTGGACACACATGACAGCTCAACGAAGTGGCCTTATCAAGTGGAAATGTATAGCAGCCAAATACTTTAAACCCATGTTTTCTAAATGTGGAGGGGAAAACCGGAGGACCTGGAGAAAAATCCACGCGACCACTGGGAGAACATGCAAACTCCAAATATATAGGCATCAGGGTCAGGATAGAACTGATGACCTCCTGCATACCAGGCGAGGGAGATAACATCTCACCACCGTGGCACCCCAGCTTGGTAATGTATAGGCCACAATTGGTAGAAACCTGTTAAGTGGTTTTATTTTCAAAAGGCAAGACTTCATTGAGGGCCTGAGACAAGCGTCAGGTTACATCTGCATATATCACTCCATGATGCTTTCCAAAGAAGAAACAAACTCATGGTAAAGACGTTTATAAAGGTAGTGCTCACACGGGATGGATATAAAGCTTTTAGAATATGAACACAAGTTGAAACTTAACCACACATCCACACGCGCTTGTTAAGAGCACTTCATCTTTCATAGTGACCTGTTTTTTTTAAATACATAAACGATATGACAAGCATATGAATATGGGAGTTCAAACCAACTACAATTAGTCAGGGTGACTAAAATACAATAAAGCATTTTGACATTTTCTTCTGGAATGCACATGAATACAAGCCACCACGCTGATTACCTATAAAGCCACCGGTGGTTTTGGATTGGTGGCATCAACCAATAAAACAACAATTATTCTCCTCTGGCATCCTATTCAGTGGTACCGCTTCACTCATCACTCAGTTAAAAGTGTTAAGTGTCGCGTTTGCCGGGCACGATGCTGGGAAGCCAGTAACGCCCTGTGCCGGACACTATTATGAGCAGCAAACAGCAGCAGCACAACCGGATGTCTGGTGGCGTGATGCAATGTTTCATCACCATCATTATTATTATTTGCCATCGTGACAGTGCCAAAACTGGAGGCGAGCAGTAGCTAAGCCCTTCGTGAGGCTGCGACTGCTGGCGTTCTGACAGGGGAGAGGTTACGACGAGGGAGCGGGTGGTGGTGGTGGTGGCAACTCACTGTCCTGGGAGCCTTTCGGAGCGGGGGGCTTGCGAGTGGCCCAGTTGGTCCGGATTTGCCGGCCTCCCAGCCACTGGCCCCCCATCTGCTGTATGGCGTTCTCCGCGTCCTTTTTGTAGGGCACGCGTGCGGCGAAAGAGGGCGGCGCGCGTGCGCGGGCGGGCGGGCAAAACAAACGCACATACGGTTATATGGTGCGTCACCGCCGTGCCGCAACGGCTCACCTCCCACGGTTCACCACAATGCATGCTTTAAACGCAGCGCCGGCACTCAACGTCGGGGAAGGCAGACGAAAGAAAAATATTGAATCATGGGTTTACACTACGGCAAACAGGCAAGCGCACACGGGTAGCAACGTTTCGACTGCACAGTGATCACGTCTCAAAAGAATCGTAAACAAACAAAAACATTCACAGAAGCAAAACATGAGCCTTTAAAATCAAGTCACAGGCACAACTGCTTCAGCAGAGAGGGAAAAAAAAAACACATTTAAAAATCATTTGGAAATTTAACAACCCTACGTGTAGAGTAACAATTAAAACATTTAAAAAAAAATTAGTTTTAAGAAAAACTAGGGACGTCACCTCTGCACTGTCCGCAGTCCGCCCGCGTTTTGACTTACCAGTTTCTGGAAGAAAGAGACAAAACCATATCCTTTAGATTTGCCAGTGGCCAAGTCTTTTACTACTCGTGCGTCGCTGAAAAGAAACAAAAAAGCAGCATGTTCAGGCACACCGCATACGTCGCAAGCGCTGCCCAAAGGCCAACACAGACGCATACAGCCCCACAATACTCGCTCAAAGCTCCCGACGTTTAACAATGCGTCTCAGAATCCAGCGTAAGCCATGCACGAGTACAATAATGTACAAGTCGGTTCTAATTAAGCTTGCATGTTACGATGAATGTGTGCAAGTTAACGAGACATGCGCTCGCACGTTATTACCGATTTTAACTACCATGACATCTACCACCTTCATGACGTACGTGTATATATTAAGATAAATGTGTACAGATACAAAAAAAAAACACACACAGCGGAACCTGCTTAATGCCAAGATATCATCTCAAACGAAAGCCCAAAAATGTAAAGAGTTGATATCATTAAATTCTGGTAATCATTAAGGTGTCCTCATTTCAACAAGCTCTGCACCAGAGCAAGCCGAGCGGTTGGACACCAAGTAGGTTCCGCGATGTGTTGCACGGTATGAACAGTAAAAATAATAGAGGAATTAAAAGGCATACATCGCCTGTTAACAATTCTTATTTTCCCGGGAGGGCGCACTCTCTCTCTCGCTCTCTACCCTTGTGCTTTTGGGGGGGGTGTGGACAGCTGTAAAATTAAAAAAAAATGTAAATGTTTTTCAGAATGAGTGCACGTAGAACTATCGAAATTATTTATCAAAAAATCCAATAGAAGAGACAAAAAAAACCAAGCAAACCGAGACTCAAAAAGGTGACAGGCAATAATTACAAAGTGACGTAGCAAACATAGTACTGTCAATCGTGCAAAGCTGCATCAAGTTCGATCGTGGCACATCGTTAACACTTTGCTAAGACCGCACAGCAAAATAATTGAATTTACGTATATTTATGCGACACGTTTCTTTATATATATAAAAAAAATTATACTGTTTTAATTAACGAATTATATTTTACATAATGTGCTCAAAATACTTATACAGGTTAACCATAAAAGACCCCTGGAAAAAAAGGTAAATGATGAAGAGTGTGAAAACTGTCACTCTGGCTGGAGACCCGAAGGAAGAAGGCCAATGTACACGCATGTAATTTGGGGCATACGGGGACAGAGGCTGCATTCTGCCTACGATGGCTGCTTTATTTAAGCTATGCCCACTATTCTGAGCCACTAACGCCAACAACATACGCTTGAAACGATAACGTTAAAAACCCACACGTGTCAACTTCATCATAAGGCCAAATGCCTCGTCCCCCCCCTCTCTACCCACCACAAATCTCCTGGTTTAGGAGAGACTGCAACAATGCCACTCGTGTCCTCATCATTTCAGCTGCCAATATCCATGGAACCTAACGCTCCCCCCCCGCCCCCACCTCAATTGCGCTGCCAATGACAAATATACGACTTGGGGGGGCTTTCTCCTCTTCATGCTGTGGACGCACACCACCATGTTTGGTGAGCATACGTCCCTGGGCTCAGAACAAGCGCTAACAAGGTGGCTGGTGATTATAAAGTGCCCGGTTGGAAAGCTTTAATTCGTCCATTGCTTTTATTTTTAAGCCTGTAATATTCTATTGCAGGGGCTGGCAACTTGCGGCGCAGCAGTCGGCTCGTTAAGGACTGCTTCGTCACGTTATTTATTAAGGACCACCTCGTATTCACATGCATTGTGGCCTTTGAGTTCATCACGTAAGCCAAACTGAGTGGGGAATAGATATCCATTGTAAAGGATGCACGCAAGAAAATATTCAATCACTGGGCATTTGTACTTAATGTAAATGACAAGTTCAATATTCCCTATAGGATCTGCAATGGAACTGTGCTGCAGTGCCATCGGGATTGGCTAAGTTCCAGAGGGGGGTGGGGCATTTTCTACTCTCCATGGACTCAAAAGATTTGAAATAATAAGGGTCACACAAGGTGGTCAAGGGTACGAAATTTCACTTCTGAACAAAGGAAATTATAACAAAAAGGTTGGCTCAGGCATTCCCAACTTCAAAGTGTGAACCTCATGCCCAAAAAATGTAACGCTCACCTACAGTGAGGGAAAAAAGTATTTGATCCCCTTTTGATTTTGTACGTTTGCCCACTGACAAAGCAATGATCAGACTATAATTTTAATGGTAGGTTTATTTGAACAGTGAGAGACAGAATAACAACAAAAAATCCAGAAAAACGCAAATCAAATGTTATAAATTGATTTGCATTTTAATGAGGGAAATAAGTATTTGACCCCCTCTCAATCAGAAAGATTTCCGGCTCCCAGGTATCTTTTATACAGGTAACGAGCTGAGATTAGGAGCACACTCTTAAAGGGAGTGCTCCTAATCTCAGCTTGTTACCTGTATAAAAGACACCTGTCCACAGAAGCAATCAATCAATCAGATTCCAAACTCTCCACCATGGCCAAGACCAAAGAGATGTCAGGGACAAGATTGTAGACCTACACAAGGCTGGAATGGGCTACAAGACCATTGCCAAGCATCTTGGTGAGAACGTGACAACAGTTGGTGCGATTATTCGCAAATGGAAAAAACACAAAAGAACTGTCAATCTCCCTCGGCCCGAGGCTCCATGCAATGATCATGAGAACGGTGAGGAATCAGCCCAGAACTACACGGGAGGATCTTGTCAATGATCTCAAGGCAGCTGGGACCAAGAAAACAATTGGTAACACACTACACCGTGAAGGAGTGAAATCCTGCAGCGCCCGCAAGGTCCCCCTGCTCAAGAAAGCACATATACATGCCCGTCTGAAGTTTGCCAATGAACATCTGAATGATTCAGAGGACAACTGGGTGAAAGTGTTGTGGTCGGATGAGACCAAAATGGAGCTCTTTGGCATCAACTCAACTCGCCGTGTTTGGAGGAGAAGGAATGCGGCCTATGACCCCAAGAACACCATCCCCACCGTCAAACATGGAGGTGGAAACATTATGCTTTGGGGGTGTTTTTCTGCTAAGGGGACAGGACAACTTCACCGCATCAAAGGGACGATGGACGGGGCCATGTACCGTCAAATCTTAGGTGAGAACCTCCTTCCCTCAGCCAGGGCATTGAAAATGGGTTGTGGATGGGTATATTCCAGCATGACAATAACCCAAAACACACGGCCAAGGCAACAAAGGAGTGGCTCAAGAAGAAGCACATTAAGGTCCTGGAGTGGCCTAGCCAGTCTCCAGACCTTAATCCCATAGAAAATCTGTGGAGGGAGGTGAAGGTGCGAGTTGCCAAACGTCAGCTTCGAAACCTTAATGACTTGGACAAGATCTGCAAAGAGGAGTGGGACAAAATTCCTCCTGAGATGTGTGCAAACCTGGTGACCAACTACAAGAAACGTCTGATCTCTGTGATTGCCAACAAGGGTTTTGCCACCAAGTATTACGTCATGTTTTGCAGAGGGGTCAAATACTTATTTCCCTCATTAAAATGAAAATCAATTTATAACATTTTTGACATGCGTTTTTCTGGATTTTTGTTGTTGTTATTCTGTCTCTCACTGTTCAAATAAAACCTACCATTAAAATTATAGACTGATCATTTCTTTGTCAGTGGGCAAACATACAAAATCAGCAGGGGATCAAGTACTTTTTTCCCTCACTATATGACATCACTGTTTGATAGCGAGCCTTGCCGAGGTATTGTTTTAAATATATTTTTATATAGTGACTAAAGTCAAAAATATAAAAATCAATTACCTTCATAAAGTAATACAATTTGGCAGTTTGAATGTCCGTATCACTCAAGTCACTAAGACATCTGAAATGTTTGGCCGACTTTATTAATTGATTTTGTCAAGCTAATGGCCATGTCTCATTTCCTGAAAAAGTTCACCTAGCTGAAGCAGTCTTTTTCTCTGTTTGGATGCCTATTAAGTTTTAAAACAGATTTAGAAATATGGCCATGACAGATGTTCTATGCTCAAATGCAGGGGGTTCAAGTTATTTTCCCAATTTGTGAGTTAATGTATTAAATAATTTTTAGCAAGTATTTTCAATAGGATATTCTGAAGATTATCTTTGAAAGGGAATCCAAATTTTAGAGCACATGATACAAAGCCAAAGTTGTTTCCCATGATTTATAGGAGGTTGTTCAAATGTGATTTAAGATAGTTTGTTGGCATGTTTTTACATTTGGATAAGTTGATTTTGAACAGTTGGGTTAATTGCAATGAGTTTAACTGAAAGAGGGGTTTACAGGGGTGCTTTGGACCCAGGGATCACTTCAGGTTTAATAAATAGGATCACCTGATGGCATTATAAGGAAGCAGCTGGACCAAGTGTTGACAGAGAATGATTTCAGGTAGCTAAGTTCCTGGTATTACCCAAACCCTAGTCACTAGTAGCTCGAGAATTTCAGTTTAGTTACTGATTAATCTATCCATTAGTTACCATAAGAATAGGCATAAATACCCCCCCCCCCAACCCACTCCAATCCAGAGTAACTATTAATGAGTTCTTAGAGATTCATTAGATTGTGGGGCAGATTATGCGGGCAGGGTTTCAGAGATACAGAAAAAAATCCTGGAGTTAAAGTGTCAATAGTTATGAGAATAGGTTTTCCCCTTTTTTCTGGCAACAAAATAGGTGTTAAGATGTTAAAACACCAAACTGAAACCTTTAACAAGGAATCATGTCTGCATTAACCAAAATACTTGTGGTCAAAATGCAAAAAAACGTATTCTGATAATATATGCATTGTCTTTGAAACTGATTGGTCTACACCAGCAACAGCTTTCTTTTGAGCCTCGTCTCAAAACGGCATTAGACCAGAGGACGCCAAAAGGCGTAAAAAGGGGAAAACCTATTCTCATATTTTGGTACTGGCAAAGGTCCCATGACGTCAATAGTTAACTAAAGGAATAACATATTGGCCAAATAACTCCATTGCATTTAAATTTGGTTTGGTAAAAAAAAGATCAAGTCCATGCTGGCTATTCACTCACATCTGAAGACAAATAAAAAGCAGGAAATAAGCGAACCAGGGCCCGTAGGAGGTTATATGCCAACTAATGTAAATACCACGAGGTCTACGAGAGAGTTTTGAAGAGGCGTATTATTGCCTTTGTCTATCCCTAAAAAATAACTAAAATATTGAAAGTGGGTTTTATTCAAATTAGGATTTATTTGGACTTATAACCCAGAAGGTTTCAACTTGAGGTCCACAAGATTATCTAGCACTTCCAAACTATACGTTAACATGTTATTAACTGTAAGCCAATTGTCCTCAATGTTACATCTTTTAAAATTGGCAACAAACTAAGTCATTGACTAAATCCCTTTAAGCAAATTGAGAGACTACTTGAGATGATACATAATAACCAACGCCTGTGAATGATGCCACATGGTCTTTAATGTCCACTAAACAGCTGACGGGGTAAGCTTTGGAATTCCCCATAGAAATGAATGGGGAACTGGAGATTAAATTGCCGACTCAAGAGAAAACTCATTCTCAATTACACGTTGAGAATACCCAAAGGGTTCTAATTATTAAAGTACAATTAGCATCTCATTTTATAGTTATACATTCACCGCATAATTGTTCGTGATTAATTCTACTCCCATATTGCATTTACCTTTACCAATGGCAAGATGAGCAAAAATTGAGGTCACGACAGTACACCATTGGGAGAATTTCGCAATGGGATGAATCGCAGGTAACCCCAATCTCTTGCAACCTGACTGGCCAAGTGGCAGAACTAGATTCGAAGCTTTCGGGACTGCAGAAATTAGAGACAGAATTTGAACAATTTCGCTCGATAAATGAAAGGTCCTCCTCTACCTGCCATGGCACAAACGCGTTGTGTGCAGTGCATGCATCTTTATCTGGTGCTATCGTCGTCAGCCTTGGCAAGAAGCATTTTTTTCGTCTGACGATAGAGCCAATTTATTATTAACTGCACAAAAGGCAATAATTGATATGCTCTCAGGGTTGATTAATAAGTCACAGCCGGAGGAAATGAGGCAAACTGTAATATCGTGTCAGAGGCTGATTATTTTTAGCCAATAATAATCTTGAGCTTTTAATTGTCCATTAATTAAACCTTTCAGGGCTACAGCCAGGGAGCATGACAATTGACAAATGCTGGGCCAAAATCTTGCAAATAGCCATCAGTGCTCAACTAGACGGATTTTACTGCGCCCTCAGCAGCAGCCAATCACTGTGGACATAATCAATGCTGTATTGCTTAGTAGGATATAAATACATTTTTTTGTCTGAAGAGCACCTTTCCACTTTGCAGCTTTCAAGAACAGAGCAGCCGACACTTTAATCTCAATCGAATGTTAGCGCTAAACCCGGCGTGCCCTTCGTGCGCTGCCACCAGTGGCGTTGTGGTGGCGTCCAGCCATTATTGCCATGGCGACAGACGTGCCCATTGCCGGAGAGGTTTGTTGTGCCAGGAGAGGCCTTCACTTTGAAGCTGTGGTGAGGTAAAGGGCGCAGGTGCGACCCATTGGTTCCCGTGCAGTGCGCCACAAAACCCGGTGACGTAAATGAGGTTCCCGGTCGTGGTGAATGTCAGCGGCGAGTAGGATCCGGCAGCGGTCCCGGGGCAACCCGCCTTCACCAACTTTTTATTTATTTATTTTACCAGGTAAGGTCCCACTGAGCTGCGTGGGTCTTTTTCAGAAGCTACCTGGCAATCGCGAACAATAGCAGCTCAAGGAAGTGGGCTCAGCGTAGCGCGAAAATATACAGCGGTAGCCACAAACTCCAAATGCACGTTATTTAAAATATGGAGGGAAAAACCGGAGGATCCCGGAGAATAATCTACACGACCACGGCGGTGAAGGCTGGCCAATGGATCCCCGTGGCTGACAGTCGTGACTTAATGGGTAATGGCTTAAGCTTATTTTGCCGATACAAATTTCCACATGATAAGCCACTTTGTTGAGCTATCATTTTGTGGCCAGGTTGCTTCTAAAAAATAAGTTAATACCTCAATCAGCTTTACATGGTACGATAAAAAAAAAACAGTGTATATTTTAAAGTGATTTGTTTACCTTTCCTATCCTTTACACTCCTATCGTGTCTATTTTTTTATTGTTTGTTGTCGTGAAGTTCTGACCTGCCTCGACTGAACATCTGCGCAAAAGAGCTTTATAGCGCAACAGAGTCCTCCAGTATAAATAAATATTCAGATTCTCTAAATGTGGGGGTACACGACTGGTTTTCTACACAGAGCTGTTCTGCAACCAATCAAAAGCACTTTGCTAAATGGATTTCAAGCGTAAATGGTGAGCAGACCGAGACACCTGCCGCCAACCTGCATTAGGTAGAGAAACTAATGAAAGCTCGGTGTTCGTCCATATAGTTCCCCCCGCCCCATCCACACAGACCGACCTAATCAGGGTTTATTAAGTACTAGAAACATTCACTTAAATGCACCATAAACATTATTCCCACCTCATTGACTCGATAGGAAATTAACAAAAGGTCCTGACAACTGAACCTGCCCATGCTAAGTACAGGAGGTGTTGCTTCCAAGGACAAACTGTATTGATACTCTGGCAATGACTGCCCCAAAGTGCCAACGCTAAATCACAGTACTCAGTGACTTTTAGGATCACTGCATAATGTCTTTGTAAAAAATCTATTCGTTAAGCTTGTGGTTACTTTGCACTAAACCCGCAGCCTTAATTACAAAAATAACAAAAATGTATAATAAATACAGTAATAAAAAAATGTTCACACTGCATTCGTGCCTATACGAGCAACGTCAACATTTATGTGCCGAATGAACAGACGAAGTGAGAAGATGTCAAATGAATGCAGATTTTCCTCTACAGTAACGGCACGCATGCCCGGTGCAAGCTCATGTTTGTCATCGTCGTCGTCTTTGCGGCACTTACGAGATTTTACCGAAGGGAGCGAAGGCCGCCCGGAGATCATCGGTGGAGATCTCTGGGCTCAGGTCTCCCACAAACACGTGATAGTGATCTGCAAACATCACACCCGGTAGGAAGGAACAAACAAAAAAACAAGGGCAAACGTACCTCAACATCATTTCATCTCTCATCCCCCGCTGCTGGTGGAACGGGTGCACAGGGAGACGGTGGGAGGGGGGGGGGGACAGAGCAGAAGCCTGCAAAAGCTCAGGTGTGAGAAATCCCCCGTTCGCATGGCGCTCCTGCGTCACCGAGGGTAGCGGTTTGCGGCCTCCACCTCCATGCCGCTTTGCCTCTCCCCCAGGAAGTCTTACGGTGGCGTGCAAACGTCGCAGTGTCAGCGGCGGTGGGGGGGGGGAAGAAGTCATGGCCCAGTAGCTTATGCTGCACCCGTCCCAAACCAGCACAAGCAGATTTGGTAAGAATATTTGGCCTCCCTCTCTCCCTCTCAACCGATTAAAATTGTCAAGATTCTTTCACAATCAGCCAAGAATGCAAAGGCTGCTTAAGAAACCTCATCAATATGTTAAAGCGCCGGTCAGTCAGCTGGTGCGCGTATCGGGACAATACTCCGTTTGCTACTAACATTATTGACAGAACCAATTAGTGCCTCAATCCTACTTCATTCAAATCTAGGGAGAACAGTTAATTTAGTTCTCATATCCTGTACAGCCTATAGAACAATAAGTACCCAAGAATGCAGGGAGAACGTTTTGTCTCAGTCATCTGTACCATGTAGGTAAAGCACTCTCTCAACTCCACACTTGGTGATCCCCAACACAGGACAGGATTTCTGGTGCCAATTAATCCGCTACACGCTGTGCACACGAGACAGGTAGCAATTAGTGAATGTCGCACTGCGAGCAGGGGGGTAGATGTTAACTCCCTTGTCTGGTATTCAGGAAGTCGTGGTTTCAAAGCCTGTATATTTGGAGTTTGCACAGTCTCCCCGTGGTCGGGGGATTTTTCTCTGGGTCCTCTGGTTTTCCCCTCCACATTAAGAATCAACGTGCATTTGGCTGCTATAAATTTCCACGTAATAAGCCACTTCGTTGTGCTATCAGTTGTTGCCAGGTCGCTACTGAAAAAGAGCCATGTATCTCTGTGGGCCTTATCTGGCGAAATAAAAAAAGTTGAATAGTTTAGTTTTAGTACTGTGTCAGCCTTCCCCTCCCCCATCAGCGATCCAGCTTGTCGGACTCGACAATTCAAGGCCGGCAAGTAACAATGATATTTAAATGGAACTGGCCTCATCTGCTGCCTGATGTAAAGTAGCCATTTCACAAACTTGACATGCGCAAGCTTAAGGACAAAGGGTCTACACGATTGTCCGTTATGGAATGGCAACAAAGAGTAAGTAAAGTTATATTCTTGGTTCTTTCGGTAAAGTCACGTAGAAGGGAAACAATAAAATTTTATTGTTTTATATTTTTATGATTTTATTGTTTCCCTTCTACGTGACTTCACCGAAAGAACCAAGAATATGAATCCCTGCAGTCACGAAAGCTTTAAATCAAAGTAAGTAAAGTTGCTATAACAGCTGGTGTTGTTTACAAGATGGTAGTTTCTAAGCGCTCAGTTAAAGTGGTTGCACAGTGGTTAGAGCAATCCATTTATGAACCCGGCGACCTGAGATAAATTCCCAAGCACTGTTAACGTCGATGGCGAGCGATATCTAAACCAGTCCTTGGTGATCCCTTCATCAAATGGCGCTGACCAGCATGGTCAAGTATAGTCAAGCAAGATGGCGTAGAGGAATTCACCCACAAGTGTACTGGACAAAGGGCTGTAAATTAGCATTAAAAAACTTGACCATAGCAACTAACAAACACGAGTATTGAAAACGTATACAACATTTTTTTTTTTTACACAAACAATTGCGTAAAAAATATTGTTTATTGGTCAATGTCTGCCCCAACATGGCAAACACACGAATAAGGTTGTGGATTACTACACAACCAAGGGAGTTGGGCTTGAAGTTTCATTTTTTTTCTGCAAATGTCTAATAAAAGCACTAACTGGTCTGACACCCCAAGAACATACTTACTAAAGCACCCATGCACAGACAAATGTGATGGAAGAGAGAGAGGGTTTTGGTAATGATCTGTAAAACCACTATTAGACAAAGGCCTCTCCGTACTATGCCAGGCATGAGGGTTGTTTGACTATACTTATAAAATCCATATTTCCTCACCATGGTCAGTGTGGGTTGGTTAAGGGGGGTGGGGGGGAGGCAAAACGGGTTCAGATATCACTCAGCACTGATGTTATCCTCGTTCCAAAAATGTAACCAAGGTTGCTTGTTCAAAGAAAAGTAGACTAACCTACTGCGCCACCGCTCTCCCCTACGGAAGCTAAAGTGTTTAATGACACGATGCACCAATTGAACAAGTGTGTGGGTGTTAGGTTCTAATGAGAACAACTTCCTGTTTGTCGAATCATAGTAGGGGGCCCTGTCAATACTAGTGGGTTTTAGGTAGTGCAGAGGGTGTGGGGTGGGAGGGAAAATGACACCGAATAATCTTGAATGCCCTGAACGTTGTCAGTGGGTCACAACATCACTTCCATGACCGTTCCTTTTTTTTATGTATGATGGTGGCTCACGGTCGGCGTGACTCTGCGAGTCTGCAATAGGAGTTGTAGCATCAAAACAAAGCCAAGCCACGTGCCAAGAGAACTCGCAGGAACTGATTCCTGCTGAGTAATGCCATCACGGGACATTGCGACTTTTCGCAAGGTGGGCAGTGAAGTTACTGCCTTGTTCAATAAATATGGCACGTCAGTTTTATTTTTTTACTTTACACTAAACAAGGGCAAATAGAAAATACATATATAATCGTAAAAATAAATGAATTCACGTAACGTTTCAATTTGCATTTTAAAAGCAGACTTTTAAGGCAAAGATTGCCGAAACTCCAACCCGAAAAAGATTTGCTCTGCCTGGGTCAATTAGTACACCAGAGCTGTGTGGGGGATGAAGGCAAATCAAGGTCTCCAGGAGACAACGCATGGTTCTGGGCAGGCTTGATGTCAGCACTGCCTGGAAACCAGTCTTACGACGAAGGGTCAATGTACACCGGATAAGTGCTAAATGAAATGCAAAATTGCACAAAGGCTTGGGTCAGATCTCAGCTTAAAACATGGTCATTAAAAACAGACCGCTCACACACCACTCACCAAAAACCACTTGTCAAACACAGAATGCTCCACCACATGCACCACTCACCCAAACCACTCAACCCTCCAGACTCCTCATTCCTATACCACTCACCACCCTCCTCCTAGACTGCTCACTATATATACTGCTCGCATAAACATCTCACTGCACAGACTGGTCACCCCGTACAACACTCGCGCAAAACTGCTCACCACAGAGAATGCACCACCACTGCATGAACCACTCTCACCACACATACCACTCGCCATACAGTGCTAACTCCGCACCCAAGTCACCCCGTATGGCTCATCCCACCTGCAGCAAGTCTCTGAGCAAAAAACGCCAACGCCACAGTTGGAACGGAAGATAGTTATTTTTTGTATTGAATGAGTCACCAGTGTCAGTGGCCCTTGCATAATGCTGTGCTAGGACACCCACAGTAAATGAATGCTTGACATTCAGATAAAATCCGCGTGTGCAATCCTGGTCCTGACACAGGTATGCTAAAAACAGCTCAATAAATAATAATGTAAAAAATGTGAAGTCAGAAAACCCTGAAGAGATGATTAAAACAACAATGCAGGAGACCATCTTTTCTCGGACCGACAATGACTACACGCAGAAAGAGTTCAAAAACGATCCCCGTTTCGAATTAAATTATAACTAGAGGCACGTCAGAGATTTCAACAACTTGAGCTAAAAAAACGAATGCAGCCAAAGATTTTTCTGTAACATTTTGTACAAACACGACGGCATGTCAAAGCGTGTCTGTCATACAATGACATAAGACTTGTGACGCACTGGTACTGGCACAATGCCACACGAGGCTGATTAATGGCTACAGCTAACATTAGATCACAGAGTGATCTCGGAACCGGCCCTGGGCCCTCCTTCCCCAGCTCACACCGAGCAAGGGTGCTGAAGTTTGGTCAAACAATCACCATGACTGACGGGGGTATGCTGAGACCTTAAGCCAGTAGAATGACTAAAAACTGTTTGTTTGGTTCATGTATTACATACGTTTAACATAGTTTCATAGAATAATAACATTTTTCTTCTTTGGTTCTTTCGGTAAAGTCACGTAGAATGAGAATAAAATAACTGATAAAATAAAATAACACAATAATGTTCTCATGACGTTTCGGCCACAACACAAGCGGCCTTCATCAGGTGAAGGGACGAGACTGTCTGGAGGACAGCGCTGGAGTGAAAAAGCCACGCTCAGATCACGACCTTTAAGCTGTGTGAGAAGAAACAAAGCGCCTTGACAAAGGAATTAGCATATAATTTAGCATTGAAATGGCTGAGTGATTAGCTTGTGACTGGTCACAGAAATGGCTATGTTAAAGTTAAAGCATACACATCCGCAGAGGAACCCCTTGACATTCTTGATTACAATATTATTTACTTAATTTTGACAATAAACAGATCACCGTCCTAATTTCAGGTTTTTTTTTTTCATCAGGTCTGGACTTACCTGCACACGTCAGCAACCCACATTAACCAACATGGTGAAGCATGGTTGAACAAACGAGATTAATTACGCAGCGTCAAGCGCACGGTATGTTTTCTTTGCGGAAAATGTTATGGGCTTTTCAACAACATATATCCCTTGCAGCTACATTTGGTCAAGCGTGGCGAGACTACATTAGAAGAGTGCTGCGGATCTGATCTACAAAGTGCAATTGTAGAAGGTGCTCAGTGGTACAAGGCGTTCTTTAAAGAGGCTGCTGACCCACTACAGCAAAGCAACGATACAGCTACAGCTGCATCACGGACGGCATCTGTTTCTGCAAGACACATTTTAACAAGGCAGCCAACCACAGCGGCACACAATGTTTCTGCCACTACTGTGGCAGTTCTTCACAAGTTGCCTAAATGTTTATCACCGAGTC